AAAAAAAAGAGAGCGAGAGCCCTCGACTCTCCACGCTTTTAATAACTTTACATGGATTTGTTTATTTTCACTTTTTCGTCATTAGAAGGGGGTCACCTTTGGATATCAAAATTTTATGCTTGTACTCGTACAAATATATTAACTGTATTTCCTTAATCTCTCTCTCTCTCTCACCTAGAATCGTACAAAAAACATGTTTTTCTAAAAAATACTCAATTTTACCTCTATATCTCCTCAAAACACGTTCAATGCAAAAATCGTTATCAAAGTATACTCTGCTAAATTTGTTTCGTACAAAAAGTTTTTCATTTGCCGTAACCTCATTCTTTCTCAAATTATTAAAATTGCAACTGACAAGATATTGAATAATAGAGCACACTTTGTAAAAAAAAAAAAAAAAAAAAAAAACCTCAACGCAACGACAAAGGTTAAGGAACAACTAAATATAACTTACATAACTATCAATTATTGTTATAATAATTATTATTATATCTGAGCGGTAAAAATGAGAAAACTCATTAATTCTTACTGCTAATGATGATTACCTATAAAAATGGATCGATTCATTCATTACAACTCGAGCCGACATAATTAATTGGACTCTTGAAGGAGGTATCGACGCATCCGTGGACGCTCTGCTGTAATCACAACAAAATCAGTTGTGCCAACAACAGATTTATTAAAAATTTTTTTTTTCTTCTTCAACTTTAACAAACAGACATTAAAATAATATCTGAGAGATAAAGAAATAGATAGAGAGAAGAAAAACATAGAAAGAAACGTTGCACAGTTTTCTCTCCCTGTGTCTATCTGTTTCTCAATGCGTACGTATGGTGATATACTTCCCTGCGACTCATTTGCAAGAACACATTTGTTTACATTACAAATTTTATAAAAAACGTACATTTTTTTTTTTTTTTTCTTATTTAAAGGGTATATGTGGGACATAAATAATAATCAAACGCAGTATGTTTTTTTCTTATGAAATTATACAGATTTTAATTAAAAATCTCTCTCGATACAAATGCTCAACAACTGATCAACATCAATATTCTTATTTTTACATATTCACGTATTACAATAACGTCCAACACTTTGTCTCTCAAAATATTCGTTTTTATATCTTTACAGAATATAAATTTCTACAAGTTCTACAGTGATCCAAAATTATCCATCAGGCTTGTAGCGAAACATAAAACAAAAAGAAAAAAAAAAAGAATAGAGAAAAACACAACAGCAGCACGTCAGTGCCAAAAGCACCCGTCTCTGTTTACTCGTTACGGGCAATTAAAAAAGTGTTAGTGGCTCTACGCTACCCTACACAAGCTTGGAGTAAGAGATCACAGTAGCGTTCGTCGTTTACTCTCTCGTTCGTGCCAGAGGATATGTACTATTTTCAGGTGTGATTTTTGCTATTAATAGAACAGCACCGCTTAGTAGTATACATGTAAAAAAAAAAAAAAAAAAAAAAAAAAAAAAAAAAAAAAAAAAAAAAAA